TTCAGGTCTAGACCTGGAAGCTTAGAATTTTGTCCTTCTCAGTCATGTTTCCAGATGCTGTATGGGACAGATCTGAGTTATCCTTACAGCATTTCCTTGGGTTTCCTTTGAAAACTATCTATTGTACAGTAATATTTTTAATTAATATTTGGACTTTTTCCACATCCACCAGCTAAAGTGTCTTCAGTGCCTGGAAATCTATAGGAATAGGTCAGGTCAGCCTTACCTAATCTCCCAAGCTGGTTTCCCTTTGGTTGAGCAGCTCCCAAGCTGCACAGTGGATGGAGGGGAAAGATGTGGCAGCTCTTAGCTGGGGGCTCATAATGGGACAAAGTGGCATCTTGAATTTACAGACCCTGTGACTCTGTGTGTGCTGCTTTACATGGGGTGGGAGGATGGAGATGCCCAGCTGGCACTTGGAGGGCTGTGTGTTTGCTGGCAGAATTTATTGTCTGTCCTTTGACATATCTGCAATGTGAAGGCTGAAAGTAGCAGCAAAAACACCTGCTCTGAATCAGGTTAGGGCTTTGCTACAACACAGCTGAAAACAGGTAGAGTTTTCTTTTCCAAGTATCTGAAGACTAATTGGGTATCAAACTACGCCATGCTTGTAACACATGCTGTGTGACCTTTCCTGCTGTAATGGTCAGACAAGTCCACCTGGAAGTGACAAAAAGACATAAAATTAAAAAATGCAGAGTTTATCTAGCCCAACATTTGGAGATGCTTCAAATGGTTTCTTTCAACAGATCTACTACAAACAGTAGTTTGGAATGTGTTACTTTTTCTGAAAAGGTGGTATTTTTACTGATCCTCTAAGTATGTTAGTAGTTGTAGGTAAGAGATATCTTGGCCTCAAATGCTGGTTTGTTTTGGCTTTTTATTATGCTTGACAGACTGGTGCCAGTTCCCCCTCCTTCCCATCATTGTGTCTCTTTAATTCCACTTTACAGAGGAGTTGCTTCAGTGTCTTTGTCACATTTGAACTTTTGTTTAAGAATAAATTTTCCTGAGTGCTAAGCCTTACAGCAACTTAGGTACTTCCAAATCAAAGTCAGAGTAGATGTATGCTCCTGCAGCCAAGCTTTTCAGGGAGATTAGTTCTTCTGACTTCAATTGATTTAATAACTACGCTGCACTTGAAGACTTCTGAGGACTGTGCAGCCAAGACACATCTAAAAATAGCATTTAGGTCTAAAAGCCACTAAGGCAGTTTTGGAAAATGCAAAACATAACTACAGTCCCTTTCTGTTACATCTCATGGGTTGGAAGGAACAATGAACTGTTTCCTAGTGTTTTGATGCTGATGTGAAACTTGGGTATGCCCAAAGCATTGCCATGTGATTCTTTTTCATTACTGTGGGTGATGAGGAAATTTGAAAGAGCTTTCTTCTGCATACATGATTAAATGTATTAACTGGTCTTTTGAGAGCTGTGATCCAGACTGTTACTTTTCAGTTGGAAGTTTGTTTTACCCCACTCCTATCAAAATCCAGAGTGTGTTAGAAACAAGACTTTTTCTAGTAATTTGCAAAGTATCCAGAAATCCTTTGGAAAGAGAGATAGGAAGCTGAAAGGAGAGTAACTCCAAAAGCTGTTCCTGTTGCAGCAAGTTTGTATCAATTCTGCCTTGATCATGTAATGAGGACAAGTCTCCTGCTCATTAGGCTGAAAGATGAGTACGTAAAATACAAAAATGTGGTTTTAACAAGCAAGATTCCTGGTAAGTCCATGAGCTGTGTTGGACAGAGCAGTGCCTCAGGCCTAGCTGGGACTGAAGGCTGTGTGATAGATGGATCAAGTGCTGCTGCTACCTCTCTACAAAATTTGCATTCCTCCTCACAAAGGAGCTTGTGTTTGATGTTTTGTAGAGCAGCAAGCCTCACCATGAGTAGAGAATTTGGTTGTGATTCTCATCCAGTGTTCCTTTGTTAAAAGTGATATCCAGCTGTCTTAAAAGAAATTTCTGCAGGTAAAGCTCACAAATATTGTTTGGGTTTTCAAACAGCATATGAATTAGTCCTTGTATCTACAAATAGCATGTGTTAATGAATACAAATTCATCTTTCTGTGAAAAAAAAATTATGAAAAGCTGAGTAGTCCCATGAAACTCAGCCTTCAAGCCCAAAATCAAATTACTGAAACCAGTCAAGAAACTGTAAGATTTAAGGTGGTATGTGACATGGTTTTGAATAAACAGTCATTTCTTAACAGTCTAGTGCTTGATCTGGAACCAATAATGTTTTGCAGAGCACATTCTATGTATGACTTTATAGAGAGATGCTGATCTAGAATGCAGGCATGTACCCTTCCAAGCAGAATTTGGAGAGTAGTACAGCATAAATGTAGTTGTTTAGAGGGATAAGGTAAAGCTGAGGAGTCACCAAAACGAAGAGTCCTCTGAATGGTGTCTGAGAGTAGGAGCAGGATGAGAGGCAGCAAAGGGCCTGAGGTACAAACATACTATATAAGATGCTGGCCCCGGGTAAAAGGAGGAAATTTCCTTAGAAATGCACATCCAAGGCCATCAGTACTGTTTGGTTGCTTGGGTTTACAAGGAGAAACTGGAAGCCAGAAAAGGCTCCTGTGACCTTACCTTGCAAGAGACTAGCTCGTGCTGCTGTTTGATTGTGGAGGTCACCTACAAGGAAAACACATGCTGGGCAGAATTTGAAATTGCACCCTTGCTGGATTAGCATTGCTCCATGTGTCCTTCCCTACGTCATCACCTTATGGAGACCAAGTTCTTCAGATTTTCCAACAACTTTATTGTCTATCCAGTCCTAAAAAAAAATGGAAGAGATGAGTGAAAACAGTTTAAATGTGCCCTGCTTGCTCCAGGCTGTTCTTAGCTGCTTCTCAGGTGTAGATGCACCTGTGCAAATCTGCTTTGAGTGGGCTGGAGCTAATCTGGGATTGCCAGGGAACAGAACATGATGCCTTTGCTCCACTCACATGCATTTCCCCACACCCACCAGCACTGCACTTGGTTCCTGTATGGCAAGAAAGGGAGAGGTCCCCTTACCCCTGCTTGGAGCTGCTCCTGCTTGTGCAGCACCTCCTAGAAGAATGATAGCAAGATTAAATTTTTAAAAATCCTCTTTTTCTTTGCCCATATTGGGGTCACTTTGTCTTCCCCCCTCCTTCTCACCTTCATTAGATCAGGAGGAGATGATGTGCTGAATGCCACCTCTGACACTGTACAGGACAGACTCCCTGCATTCCAGGATGATTACCAGAAGCCTGATTATAGTGGCTAAAAACCCTGTGAACCCAGGTTCTGGGCACTGTGGAAGAATATTATCAAAAAACTAAGACATCTAGAAAAGATTTCCAGTGCATAGCTGTATATTCTGACAAGATCTCTAATATGCTGGTTGAGGAGAGCAAGCAAGTCAGCTACTGTTGGCACATTTTCTGTGTGCCACAGCTTTACAGTATTTAAAAATGCAAAGCATGTAACTAGCAAATTTCCAAAGTGCCCCTAAAACAGAAGAACAATTCTAGACTCAGTGCTTTTTTAATTTTCTGGCTCTGTCTGTATAAAGCAGCCAGCACAATATTGCTGCCAGAAGAGGTATGTTTTTATTACATCTATTGACATACTTTCACATGCAATTTTAGCAGAGACAAAGCACAGCTGGGCTTTAGCTTGCTATTGAAGGTGAAACCCAATCTGCAGTAGGCTAATTTCACTGAAATAAAAACAAGACTTTTATGGTTAAAAATCCCTTTGGAGATAGCTCAGAATATTTGTTTTGTGAAACAAATAATTAAACAAAAGTAAAATTTCGCTTCAGGGTTTTGTGAAGACAAGGGATTAATATCTGTAAATGTCTCCATGGAAATCAGTCAGGTTACAGGACTGTATTTCGCCACAAAACAAGGCCAGAATAATTAGAGGTTCATGAAACAAACACAGCTCTTCAGAGCAGGGGGATGCTATGAACCCTCAACCTGTTCCAGGATGAAGTGTGACACTGCCCAGCTCCTGGGGCACAGAGGAAGGGCCCCAGCACATGCCATCCCCAGAAGTGCAGAACTGACTCTGGGGCTGTGAGTTCTGCTGAGGGCAGGGCATTGAGCTAAGGCTCAGCTGGATGTGAGCACAATTAAACTGTCTCCTGACTGGAATTAGCTTGGAGCCTGGACAAAACCAGCCAGCAAAGCCCCTTGTGAATATACCTTCAGAAAGAGTTCTTCCTGGAGCATCATGCTGTGCAGAGGATGCAGCTTCTCTCCATCCCTTCTTCCAGGCCAAAGGGGAATCTCATGTCTGCCAGTAGGTTTCTTTAAACTAGAATTTTCTCCAAGAGGAGCAGCTTTTCTTTCAGAAGCAGGTGTTGTAGTTCAAGGACAGCATGCAGAAAATCATTCATGCACGTGACCAAAATTTTTATGTCAACAATGGCAACAAAAAAAGCCATTAAAAATCCTTCAAACATCTTCCTCTCTGTCCCCTTTCCTCAGACAACACACACTAATAAGCATCAGGGCCCAGCACTGACGATTTCAACCTCTAAGATCCAAATTTCATAAATTCTAAACAACCTTAATCAGCGATTACCCCAGACTCCTTTTGCAGAACAAGTAACTGGACATGTTCAGATTTTTAATAACCTTCATTGTGGCTATGCACCCCTTCGTGCCTAGGAAGCACCATAGCCAGCACAAAGCATCAGGGTTCATTGGGGGGATCTGCTGGATAGAAAAGCCCACTACATAGCAGAGGATCGAAACAGACCTTTGTAATTCAACAGGAATGAATCTGGTCCAGTACACTGAAAACGAGAAAGACAAGGACTACCAGGGGGTCAGGCAACCCTGCAGCCTAGACAATTTTACTTTTCAAATTTTGTGGGTTGATTCTACTTACTTATGACACTGAATTGCTAACAAAATTAATTAGAAGCATCATAAGTTGTTCATCCCAAGAGTATTTCTACTTGAAGCAGTCATTAATTATTCTGACTAGGATTGTCTGTCTTTTCTATTTATAGGCTGGCCATGGGCAACACTGACTGTTCTCGGGTTCCTGTACTGCTATTCTCATGTTGGAATTGAATGGGAGCAGAAGTATGCTGCACATTAAGAATGATGCAAACAATTATTATTAAGGCAGGTTGATGTTTTTTCTACACTGGATATTCTATCTGCACAAGGGTGAGCCAGACCAAGTCTTCAGTCCATGTATTAAAACTAAAAGTTCATTTAATTGATTCTGGATTGCAAATGCAGGAATTGAACTACAGAAACACTGATGGGCTGAGGCTGGGGGTAGGGAGAAATTATGAAGACTTTTGATTTATGTTATTTTTGTAAAACAGCATCTTTATGACTCTGTGTACATTAGAAGCCTGCATCTCAGAACAGGTATTTTATATGTGTTGAGGGTTGTTTTCATGTTTTGCTGCCTATTTTGACATATTGAAGAAAAAAAAAATCTACCTTGAAGAATTCAAAAAGCCCAATCTCTCACAGATGGTGTGCAGGGGCATGTAGGGCTGTGCCCTGCATTTACACTACTCCATGAAGGGCACGATGCTCATCAGTTCTTCTTGATTGCGTTCTGATATAAGCTAGAACATTTTGTATTCTCACTGACTGGAGTAGTTCTGCCTTAAGCTACTTTCTCACCTACTGTAGCAAAGCCTGCTTTTTCTTTTTAATATCTTCATTTAAAATTTTGCCTTTAAAATAACACCTTTTTGGTAACCTTAGAAATGGTTTTGTTCTTTTAAAAGAGTGTGTAGGGAGGAAGGTATTTTCTTAAAGAACAGCTTATCTTTTTAATCAAATATGCTCTTAAAGCTCCTTGGGCATTAAGTGCTCTCTGCCTTGTCTTAGAGTGAAAGCATTAAATACTGCCTTTATTTTGGGGCTAATACCATCCTCAGACTGTTCAGTCTGCCTCTTGTATTGTTCTGTTACAAAAGGACATATCTCCAGTCTGGATGAATGGTAAATCTGTTCAGTCTGCTTCATTCTCTGGTGTTCAAACTATCAGCTCCTGCAATATATTGCAGACACCCTGGGAAGAACTCTTTAAGACCTTTAATAAAAAACAGAATGGTCCAATACAGTGGCACCTAATTAGCTGCAGCTCCATGTCTTTTGGCCACAGCCAGAGCTGTTACAGCAGTGTCTTTTCCCAAAGACTGTGTTGTCCAGTGCTGGGAAGGCCATGCCTGCAGGTGTCCAGGTTGCAGGAGTGCACATGCTGTTTTCTAAGGGGAGACCCTTCCCCTCTCTGCTACTATGGGTGTCTCCTACACTGTTCTGTTTCAAACTGATACTGAAGAGCAGCCAGAAGACCTTTAGTCTTTTCTAAAGTTGACATTAGTCAAAAGGCCACAGGTTCTAGAGAAGACTTCTTCCAAAAGTAGCCTACTCCACCCAAAGCATGTCAAAACTTGTTCCATGCCCCTGGCATACATTTCAGCCTGTTGGGAATTAGTATCCTACTGTCCATCACTCCTGCAGCTTCAGCCAAGTCTGATATAACTTATCCCTTCAACAAGAAATTCAGATCCTGAGACAGGCTTCTGCTTATTGCCTGCATTTCTGATGTCTCTGCTGCTCACAGCTATGGCAGCCTTCTTGTTACCTTTCATTTATTCCTGGAGAAATAAGGGCAGAGGCTTCAGCTCTCTGTCCATCCAGAGAAAAGCCTATCTCTTGCTGTTTCAAAGCAGAAGCTCCAGCCTTTTATGTTATGTTTTATGAGTCCTCCAGCTCCCTAGCCATGAGAATGCCATGATTTCCCCTGGAAGCCATTTCTAGGAGACACCATGGCCTTTTGAAAACAATTTACCTTGAATGCTGCCTGGCCAAAGACATGGCTCCCTGACTGACTGGTTGATGATTGCAGGGATTCTCTCAGCCATAGAGTATATGGCTCTAAGCAAAAGGATCTGAGATTGGCCTCCATTTTGGGGCAGCACTGAGCTAAGGGCAAGAATTTTGTCAGACTTTGCTCAAACTTTGTAATTAAGTGGAATTAGCATTACAGCAAAAAGTCATGAATCTGTTCTTCATTCTTATTGATTACCATTATTTCATGAACCAAGGTGCTACTGAGTGATTGGATTCCAATTTGTATGCATGCAGAACTTCTGGCTCCAATATAGAAATGACCCTGAAGGTCATATAGAGCATGCTTATTTCTGAACTAAAATGGTTTTCTATTTTTTTCAGTGCTTTATATATATTTCATAATTTTGTATCTTTTTCTGTTTCTATAAATAAAGCTGAAATGGACTGTTGGCTTGTGACCTGTGTCTTGGAAAACGATGGCCTTGTGTAAGAAAAATAAGTGTTCCACTGTTGTGGAGAAACACTACTATGCTCTGGAAGCCTGCAGGAAGAGTGCAATGCAGACTGGTCACTTTTATCCCTGTTGTGCACTGCATGGAACATGCCTTCCCTAATAGCGTGAGTTTAAAAAGCAAATAAGACTTTTGTAGCTGGGTTAAGGAAAGACTTCAGCACGTGAAGTTTCTGAGAAGAGCAGCATGCACATAAAATGATGCTTCCCACTCACAAAGTTCCTTCTCTGTCCTGCTTATACAGCAGCTGTCAGCATGGGGCACGTTCAGTCAGACAACACACAGCTCTATGCCTGATGCACTTCGAACTTGCTGTTCAGGTACTCCTTCACCTTGGAGACCCATTCCTCAGCATGGCCTGAGAAGTGACTCTTCATATGGCACCTGGTCCAAGCAAGGCCTCTGGGACAGTCCTAGAGGGGAGGCAATTTGCAGAGACCTAGAAGAGACTGGAGTAGCCATGCCCCTTGCCAAAGGAAACAAACAGGTGAGGGGTGTATGAGAAAGAGACTTCCAAACAGTGGAAAAGAGCTAGCTAAGGGGTGTAGGGAGCAAGTGACAAGGACAGACATGGCCAAAGTAAGACACTGGCCATTTTGCACCAAAGATGAGCACTTCTAGCCGGGGTGGGGGGAACAGCAGACATTGACTACTACTGCTGTGAGACCCTGACAGTCACAAAAGTGCAATGAACAAAAATCCCCTAAAGGTGGTGGCTCTGAAAACGAGCTAGACAGCTACACGATGGCTACTGACAACAAGAGTTCACAAGTGATTTTGAAAAGCTGTCTAAGTGACTAGCAAGCATAATGTGTAGTGATATATGGCTTTAATGGTTACCACAGAGCTGTAGTAAAGTCTCTTGTGCACACACACACACCCCTCCCCTTACTCTAACCTCTCCTTAGTCAACAGAGCCATCGTCATCACTGGGTAAGATTATACTAAGTGGCTCTTTAATTCTGCATTGATTAGAGGGTGAGCAAGGCTTTGCTCACCTATCTCTTTCACATCTGAGAGCTAAAAGCAGCTTAGTTGGAATAGCCAGCTTACCACAGGTCATAAGAAAAACAGCTTAACTGTGAAAACCTGCAGCAATTTTGTTATTAGTCACAGCAATAACGCAGAGCCTGTCCTTTCTCTTGCACACCCACCTAATTTCCTTCGTCACCACTAACCCTTGAGCTGGTCACAGTTTGCACTTGCTGAGGAGGGAGGCTCTCCTTCCTCTGTCTTGGCAGCAGGATTGTCCTCAAGGATCTGTGAAGAGTGAGGAGATTGCTATGCATGGTCTGTCACAACTTCTCCTCACGGTTCTTTATCGTTTCCCCCCCTTCCACGAGTAGTGCAGCTCATTATTGCTTTCCAAAATAACTCCCAGATCACAGCCACTTGTTAGTCAAGGCATATATTTTAATCCAGCAGGGATAGCTGAAATACTGCTCGATGCAAAGCCTGTGTGAAGAATGCTGTGCCTGTTATGCCTTTGAGGAAGAGGGGAAATCTGCATTACAATAGATAATTTCTTGTATTATTGGACCTCTGAGAGCAATCCTCTCTGGTGGGTCCTCATGGATCAACAGTCCAACCAGGAGCTGCTTGTGGAGCAGCTCCTCTGTTAGTTGCATGTAAAAGGAAGACAAAAATGAAGATAACTTTGGTGGTTTTTAATTTTCTGCTTCATGCAAATGCAATCACATCCAACACAGGTCCTGCCAGAGCATCTGAGAGTGTCCCAGCTGCCTGTGGCACCAGTCACCTACACCCAACCTACAGATGGACAATGTGGCTCAGACCCTCCCAGCCTAGGGGAAATGCACTGGCAGCTCCAAGCTCAAGAGGCTTTCACAGATGCTACCAATGTCCAGGAAGATAGGAAAAGGAAGATTCTAATGGAAATTACACACTTTAGACACTGCACAAGAGATGGAGCCGAAGGGTGTCAATGCAGCCTCAGCACCGCTCCCTTTAGCTTTAGCAACATGAACTGCTCCAAGAGAAAAAACGTGTGTGCACTCTGTACCCAGTAGAGATAATGCCAGGATTAAAACTGTTCAAAAATCTCATTCCTTATGCTGGGAATCACAAAGATCTGGGTGAGAACAAATTAAGCTAACATCAGGATGTAACAGGTCACATTTTGACCACATATTATTGGCTGCTCCACCTTTCTTAATGTCCAGGGGCAGCTCAATGTGTAAATAGCCTTAGGTAGCTGCATATCAGCACCTTTCAGCAACAGAACAAATTAAATGGGCTACCTGTGGCCTGTGCCTTCCCCAGCAATGGTCAGCCTGCAGGTAACAGAAATGCATTCTATCCACAGGGATTTAAGAAAAGCTTTATAGATGGTTGGGTAGCTGAAGTGAATCATTGCAGACAGCTGCATCAGCCAGCCACTGAAAAATTAAAGTTTACTGAAGAAGTAGCACAGAAATATAACTTCAGTTATGACCTGTGGCATTTAAATTGTATTGGCACTCCCTCTAGAGCTGATCATTCTTGACAAAATTAATTAATTTTTATGGACCATAGCATTTTCATCCCTGCACTAGCGTGCATTTGAGTTTCCAAAATTAGGTGGCAAAAATAGAAGAACTGGAAATGATACTAGAAGGCCAGAAACAGCTACACTGTTCATAAATTAATTAAAAGGCAAGTCAGGAAAAAAAAATAGGTCCAAATGATTTTTTTTTTTTCTTAGACTACTGCCAGAAGGGTTAAGGTTGCTTTAGAGGCTCAGGTTTGTGGGAGGATTACCGTAGAGTAAGCCAATAATTCAGAGATAAA